TATAGCATCAATGTCAGTTTAACCAACTGATGATATTAAACAAGCAAAATGGTAACATCAGAATGGCATTTCCAACCCAAGAATCCTTACAATGAAAACACCAGGTTTCTAAAAGTAATGGTTTAAGCCTAATTTGGTTGAGAATCACAAGAGAATTTATTACATAGAAAGAGAAACTTTAATGCAGAACTATTTAAAGTTGCAAAATAAAAACGAGTGGTAAAAAGGTACTTAACCTCAGAATCAATGAGAGGAAGTTTTTTTTTTGTTTAAGTTTCTTGACCTCTAGATAACTTAATAATTGAAACATTGGTATTTTAAGATAGCTTCATGCAAGAAAACAGCAGATAATTGCCACATCTGGCTCAGTTTTAAAGGTAACAGTAAAAGACAGGAGTGAGGTAAGTTGAAAGAAAACAGTTTATTGACAAATTGTTATGACTAAGGTAGAACAGTTTTGGATGTTGTCCTTCAAGTTGAGTTTTTTGTTAGTTTACTAGATGTACTACTGTCTTTACATGTTTTGGATGTTGTCCTTCAAGTTGAGTTTTGTTAGTTTCCTAGATGTACTACTGTCTTTACACATTTTGGATGTTGTCCTTCAAGTTGAGTTTTTGTTAGTTTCCTAGATATACTACTGTCTTTACACATTTTGGATGTTGTCCTTCAAGTTGAGTTTTGTTAGTTTCCTAGATGTACTACTGTCTTTACACATTTTGGATGTTGTCCTTCAAGTTGAGTTTTTGTTAGCTTCCTAGATGTACTACTGTGTTTTCACATTTTTTTTTATTGAACTTCACTTTGTTACAGTTACTGCCGAGTACAAACTATTATTCTTTATTGCTGTCTTATACTTTTATCTTTTTGAATTTGGTGATACAACAGCACAGATCTAACAGTAAATCCAAACTACAATATAATAGTTAGATAAATGATAATGAGCATGTTTGAAAACTGAAAGCAAAATACAGTTAATATAAAAAACTGACAAGCTCAAGTACCAAGACGGCAACAGAAGATGGATATCAAACTCACACACAAATAAACACAACAAGACTGAAAACAAGTTCATAAAAAAAAGCACAAAGACAAAATGGCATTGAGTATGGTATAAAAGACAAAAGAAGACCAATAACAAAATAACAAGCTCAAGTACAAAGGCAACAGATGAAAAACTGAAACTCTGAAACAACAGAAGAAAACAAGCTAGAAATAAAATATAGCAGAATACATAAACAGAGATTAAGGTCAAACTCAAGTTTAAAATTATAGAACACTCAGATCATGTTAACGAAGAATAAATTAAAAGTAAAAGAAAGCAGCACAAAAAAAAAGTTCATGTTCATAAACACCTGACAAAAAGTAACAACAAACTCATCTATAAAAAATGAAACATGAACAGATAGAGAAGTTCAATAATAATAATAATAATAAATTAAAACTCGGTAGCATGGGAAACTAACAACAAAATTAAGTTCACAGGCAACAGTCAAAAATGTAAAATGAAACATGAACATTGATAGTAAATTCAAGATCAATAACAATAATGAAATTTCAAAGTGAACAGTAGAAGATTAGCAACAACCTCAAGTTCAAAGAAAACAGTCGAAAATAGTTGTTTTAGTTATAACATGGTTTGTCAATAAACCATATAATAACACAAACATGATATGTGCACAATATATACAAGTATATATATTTAACATAAATACACTAAAAACAAATGGTGTCACTCAAAAGAACAAGCAAATAAAACTGTGGTACAAGATCCAATGGAGTGAGAGATTTATCTGTGGAATAGGACCTATACAGTAGTGGAGATGCACAGTCTACCAGATCTAACATTTATATATAAATAACACTAGTTACAACTTTTAATATTTCTAAACTACATAAAAATTTAGGTTTATTACTTGTTCAGTAAAAAAAAACTCATTAAATAGTTATTGTAAGAAAATAAAATTTTGACTTTATATATAAACTAGATTAGACATGATCAAAGCATTCATGACCTTTGAATATTAGAATTAAATTATTTTACATCATCTTGAAAACTTTCATATTGCTTGTTTGTTTTGGGGGTTAAGTACAAAGCTATACAATGGGCTATCTGTGCTGTGCCCATCATGAGTCACTGAAACCCAGATTTTAGCGTTGTAAGTCCACAGAGCCACTGGGGGGCTTTTATATTGCACAAAATGACATTTCAGCCACACTTTTTATGTTGTTACTCAATATTCAAATATTTCTTTGAAAGACTAGTAAAATATATTAATTAATTCATTTGTCCAATACCCACTGAATTTAATAATTTTAAAACCAGTTATAAAAATATAAAGATCTTGCATTAGTTTCTGTGTGTAGTTATTGATCTTAAATATATAAAGATTGAAGGTTGTGGGTATCCATATGGGTGCTAACTATTCTCTTGAGAATGTAAACTTTTATCTATATTTTCATCATTTGTTTATGAAAACAGCATTAGATACAAAGTACTGAAAAATATATTACTATCATGTATCCTGCAAAGTTGGAATCAGAAAATAAACAATGGCTCTTTCGATATAAATATTTTCAATGAACCTTGTGAATTTTCTTATCAAATTCAAAAATTTTCTTCACTTTAGAGTGACATTCCTTCATATTTATATGAAATAGTTATAACTTCTCAGTTATTAGTCAATGCAGAATTTACAATAAACTGCAATATAATTTCCTACTTCCACAACTACCTATCTTATTAGGATATATTTTACTTTTCCCACATTTTAGTTTTTGCCCTAATTTAATTGTCTTTCCTAAAAGCATTTTTGGCCTAGTTTTCTAGAACTGTTTTCTAAGTATTTTCAAGGTAAGGGGCTAGTATCATGTTATACTTCCTTCCTTCATTAAAATTAACATAACTGTTACATTATCTTTATAAGTTTATATGTATATATTTATACTGACAAAAATAAATACAACTTGAGTTTAAGCAAAACAACAAAATTACAGAATTTGTATGATAAGTTCCATTTCCTTACATTTACCTCACACCTACTATGCAATTCTTTCACTAGTAATATTTTATGTTTTAATTATAGCAATTCCATTATATCCAAAATGAATATGTTTAAAGATTTTTTTCTTTCTTTTGTAACTCATTTCAATAATAGAAATACCTAAGCTACTCTAGTAATTCTATCAACTTGACATGTTTCTTTAACCCATTGGGTGCTGATTCTCCATATAGGGTACGATTTGCTTCCAGTAGTTGAATGCAACTGTGCCGTATAGTGTACGGCTTGCAAAAATGGGAAAAAGTAGCAATTAGTCATTGACTAGTACCCAATACTGAGCTTATATAAACTTCAAGGTTGTTTAAAAATTCATACTGCTCATGAGGATGTCATTGTTTCACTCTTAAATCTAACAATACAACTATGCAGAACTCAATTACTATTTTTAAAGTAATACGACCTTATACATATCAAAGGATTAATAATATGAAATTTAAAAATTAACTTTCTTCTGTTTTAAAACAAAGAAAAATAATTATAGTTATAATACGGCTAATTTGTCAATGTATGAAAGATAAATCAAACTTCTCATATATTGTCCTATTTGCTACAGATCATTTTGTATCATCTTATATTGCTAAAAATACCTAGATGTTTCAATCTCTCTTGCTTGTCAGTTTTGAACAACTTTGTTGTCAGGAGTTTCCACCAACAGGTATAAGCTTGCTTTTTGTTTCTATAATACAGTATATTTCCTCTGGAGCTTTCAACATGGGAAGTATAGCAAAACAAACACTACTTGGTTCATAAGGGGAAATGGCATACACAAGCCGTGGACAAATATCTAGATTCATTTTATCTACTTTTATCACTTCAACAAACATGCAGGAGTAAGTCTAAATTTATATATATATAATGTTAAGATGCTATTATTAATTTTCATTTTGAAAAAAGGCATTATATTTCAAAGTGAAATTGTCAGTGCCTAAAAAATGGATGGGTGAACATCTGCAACCAGGAACATGAGGAATAAAAAAATAATTTTGTTATTCTACATAACTGGGAAATCAACTTGTACACAACCACACACATACACACACTTGAGAGAAAGGGAAATTTGCTATTAGTGACAACCATTATAGGATATAATACAACAATGTCTTCATACTAGCAACAGAAGACAAGATAATCTGCAGGCTAAAACTATCTATTATTTCATACACCAAGTTAGACACAGATGCTAACTCCACTACAATGAAGACTTCATAATCTGTTAGTGATGACCGTAATACAACAATGCTTTCATTCTGGCAACAGAAGACAAGATAATCAGGTGTAATCTGTAGGCTAAAACTATATTATATTTCCTAAACCAAATTATACACAGATGCTAACTGCACAACAACTAAGACTTCACAAATTAGGCAGCTAAGCCTACAATCGGAGCACTAAACCTAAAATATAATAATGCAGCTAAGTAGCAATAACGTAAATCAGGAAGTATGTTAGTCTCAACAAACAAAAGGTCAAATATTTAGGTTGTTTGTTCTCAAAAAATTAATGCAGAAAAAAGAGGTACTGACCTTAATATAGCACTGCTGCATAAAAAAACAACTAGTTAACATTCCAAGATGGCTGTCTGTAAAAATACCATCTAAGTGCACTATTCTGAATGGAACAAAGTTCATACTCATAAATCTATGAAAAAACAATTCCTGGGTATTTATACAATTAATAAATGAAAAATATTTTAGTTGAAATAGAGATAAGAAGGCTGCAACATACCAAGGTATTTTTTGTTTGTTTGATTAATCGTAGCTGGTCCTTGTATAGCTACATTCAAAACTACATCGGAAAATTACCTCGTTATATTTTTTCCCACAGGATTCTTATAAAAATCTTGAATTTTTTAAACTTTCATTTTTTGCAAAAAACCATGGAAGTAAATAATAGATACACTAATAAATATTGGTCTGCAATGTTAAAAGAAAATACACTTACCTGTGTCTGTAGTCGAGTAAGGCCACGAATCCAGAGAATCTGTCCTGTTCTTTTGACTTCATGAGAAATGGAATCCCTACTAGTTTCTTCTCCATGAAATATGGTATGATCACGCTCATCTGGTGTTCCTGAGCCCCAAGTGAAGGTTTTGGGGATCTTTTTGGTGGGGATTGTAGTAATCAGCTGTCCCCATAACAAAGTCCCACAGCCAAAAAATATGCACCAAAGCCACTGATCTAAGGTAAGACCAAAGGTGGAGAATGCATAACCACCAAACTGCACAATTATAATCTGAAAAAAAAAGAAAAAACTTTTCTTAAAGAAGAAAAAAACAGCAGCAATGTCATTTAAGATGACTACAAGTTAACCAATGTACCATAGCAGAATTGAATTAATTTAATGAAATTTATATACGTTTTTCAATTATGCTACTAATACTCTAACTTATATCCATTCTTTGTATGAAAATAGCCCTCCATCACAAAAAGCCTTCTAATAATAATAAAAAAAAAACAAGAACCAGCCCAAAAGTTCATACACATATATTTCTTCTTAAACAGTTCTTTTAATACATGCTGAACTATCAGATGATGGTTAACTGCGATACCAAAAGCTGCAATTCAGCCAAAATAAGTTAAAAGAAACAAATTACAAACTATGATTTTATATCAACTAAATCCAGTAATTATATACATGCAGTAAAAAATCATTTGACATTGTGGAACTGTGTAACATAATAAATTAACCAAATTAACTATGTTATTTTTAAAACTAAATTATACACTATAGGCAGGAACTGATACAGGAGCAAGTAACTTCTAAACTTTGGCTAGAGACCAGGCCCTGCAGATCGACTACAAGTAAATCTGGTAAAATGGTGAAGTCAATTTCATGCAAACATATGCGTAAGTTAGCAAAGAGACTAATAAATGCAACATTAAGATCTCCAGCTTTGCATATGGTTGAACATGCAAAAGTGTGGAAACAGAAACATATGAAAAAACCATTGTTGAAAAACGAAAAAAAAAGGCAATTTTTTATAATAATATACCTGTATTTTTTAGTTTCCACATCTTACTGAAACACTAATGACAACGCTGTTGGATGCAAAATGTCCTTACAGTGCAAGGAATAAATACAGCACATCTTTTGTTAGCTATCTTAAATAAACGCATTTTAGATCCATAGTTCTACATGAGCAATTTTACAAAATAAGTAAATTTCCTTAAATGTACTCTATTAAAGAAAGACAAATGACTTACAATTAATTACATTACACAGCTCAGAAATGCGCATGACAAATAAACCCAGTATTTCTGTTTTACGAAGTTATTTACTAAACATATTTTTATGCAATTTTTGGTACAATTCACTAAAAATTACACTAATGTTAATATTACAAAGGTTGGTTCCAATTCACAATTATTTAATGGTGTAATTTGGTTCCCCTTGTCAGACTGTTTGATATTGGAATATATGGCATTGATACTGCTTTGAATCTACTTAATACTTCTTTAAATTGTGAAATCTTGCTATATAATACAACTAATACTTGTACTACATTAGCAAAAACGTTAACAAAGAATCTAACACAGTCGACTGCGAGCACCTCCAACTGAATAACTGTATGAAGAACAAACTCATTGCTTATATTTACGAGTTAAGCAAATACCATGTGAATTAACTTTGCATTATGGGTACAATCACATTACCTTTGAATTATTTTCCACTATCATTGCAATGATGTGCTTTTCAATCATCAAACTAATAAATTTCAATTACAATAAATGTTAAAAAGTTTTACAATTAGGGTTTTATTAAGTTCCACCTTCTTTTTCTAGTAGATAAGAGAATACTGGTTCCATGAGATTAGCAGCTCATTTTGCTTTTAGGTATTTAGACCAACCCATTCAATTATCACATGTATAGTTTTTTGCAGAGTTTTACCAAATAAAGTGTGTCTGTCACTCCACTTCTTGCTTTTGATTCTACCTAATGCTGTTTGTCGTAAATCATGGTAATACTATTTAAAAAAAAATATATATATACATATAGAAGAATGGAGGGAATGCAAATGGGCGACATAAATCTGTGATTCCAATGCCTCTGGAATGCTCACAAACATCAAAGCCGCACTTAAAACTCATGGAGGGTAGCAGCAGGTAGACAAATTCTCTCCAACAAGTTATTTCTACCTGATAAGTCCCAACTACATACAAGTCAGGAAACCAAAGAAAGAGCAGAAGCTGACAATCTTACCAATCTCATCTCAGCAATGGACCCAATTTGTCATCAAATTAATGTGGGAAGCATTGAGAGACTTCCAACAAAACATAGAAGGAGATAAATATTTCAGAATAGTAGTGAGGGTCAGATAAATCTGAGAAAAATGTGATCTGTTCAAAGTGATCACAGGGTCAAGTCTGGAACCCCAACTGTCCAAAAGAGGATGAAGCCTTTGGGAACCTTAAATACCTGTCCTCCTGGTGGTGGTAAGCCAAAGCATGCTGTTCCAACAAATGTGTAACTGAATGGTAAATCCCCCCCAACATGAACAGCAATATCAGGTAAAGGAGGAAAAACTAAGTAGTTGCTCTCACACGTTTCTGCCATCAAAGAAGAAGTAAATTCAAAGGCAACCAGGGAAAGCTCCAAAACCTCACAAACGTGAGTGACTAACTGAAGAAATGGAGGAGGTGGCTGATCAAATTGGCCTCTTGATAAGCCGACCTAGAAAACAAAGGCACTGGAAAAAAGAAAGAAAAAAAAAAAGAGTCCAAATTCTCTTCAAAAGTAGTCTGAGACCCCCCCCCAAAAAAAACAAACAAACAAATATTAATGTTTTTATTCAATTTTATGAAGTTATTGTAATTTTCTGCCTACCTGTGCTCCAAATGTTATTAACAAGATGGAATAGAATATTGGATTTGTCAGAAGCCCTTCAAAGATGTTTCGCTCTCCATGGATCTTTCTTGCATTGAGTTCATTAAAAAGAGTCATCATTACAAAGGTATTGAAGATGATTGTGAAGTGCTGAGAAGGAGGGGAGTGAAGTGGGGCATACATGCCTGAATCAATGTCAAAGTAATAATGTCCTGGATAAAGAAATAAGTTAGAAATTACAAGCAAAAATTTACCCTATAAAATACTTCATCAAAGGATAATTATAATTATTTTACATCAGCATTAGTATTTCCCTAATTAGTCTTAGTACAGTTAAACCTAATATAAATATCCTAATTTAAAAGATGATACTGGATTTTACATCACATTTTTTATTATTTTTTTTTATAATTAAAGGAATTCATATTTAACCACTTGTTCAATGGGAGCAACAGCTTCATTAATCAAGCATTACAAAAAAAATATCAATACATACACTTTCAGAACAACCATTGTCTCTTATGACTTTCTTACATAATGACTACATCAAAATATAATAATGTCAAAACTGACTAAACATATAATTGCATGACTATTAGTTTAAATAATTAACATGCACCAAGATCTTAAATATGATTGTTATGGGTTGGTTAATTTTCTGTTATATCAAGAGAAAAATAATCTATGTGTGTGTGTGTGTGTGTATATATCTATATGTAATTAGTTAATACTTACATGAAAAAGGAAGGACTGCATTACAAAAAGTAATGATGAAATAAAACATATTTATAATACTAAACAAGCCTTAAATGAAAATGCTGCACAACAAAATCACCAGGGCACAGGCTATAATATGTAGTGTAAAATATGCCCTGATTTTTGGAGGTGACTGCAGAAATATGAATCATATAACAGTGGGAATACACCATCTACCAGTCTTAACCTCTGTTCACAAAGCCTCACATGTATAAGAAAAAAATAGAGTAAAATAGGAAAAAGAAAAAACTTAAGAGAGTAGATGTGGGTGCTCCAGCCCACATCTATATCGCCCTCCAGTGTCTGCAGACAGTTGTTCCCAGGTGACTGCTCTCAGAAGAAAATAAGCGAAAAAAAAAGGAAAAAGTCCTACCATTGGGAGTGATGAGTAAGAAAACCTTACCTCTTAAATTTGGCATTCTAGCCCCCATTATGGTAGTTAAAGCTCAAATTCATAAGGTAATATTAGTAGGTAGCACAAAAATATATACTAGAATAAAATCCCTACCAAGTTGCCTAAACTAGTATGACACCCATTATCCAACCATAAAGTCTACTCCTAAAGTTTACTGTACTAATTTTTAAATATTCTTCTACCTTTTATATGAGCTCTTGTATTCATGCATGTTAATGATGTTAATACACACATGAAAACAGTGTAATCAGTTTCTTCTTCAAAAATAAAAAACATCTAAAATTTTTCTCACAAATTTTAAACACAATATATTTAATTCCTACTTCTTGATATTTATGTAATATATTTTTCTTTGTTTATCAAATTCAATTTAAGAGGTAACTATCAAGGTAATCTGTTCTTGAGCTATTATAAAAACAAATGGAAAAATGTCCTGCTAATGGCAAAAATACAAACAAATATATACGTGGTATGACATTCTTAAAATTGACTTTCTCAACATATTTAAAACATTTGTGATTCATATTGTTTTTGCCCAGGAACTGGAGTAAGTTGTTTTTCCTATGTTTGATAACATCATCATTATTGGTTATTTAGGCATATCAGATGTTAGGGGCTGTTCATCCTTTCATTGACAGTAGCAGCTGCTGTTAAATCATTACATTTCAAGACATTTTTATACTAGTGCATGAGTTCTTTGTGTAGCAAGTAGTAACTTCTTACAAATCAGTATCCATAATTCAAAAGATCTTTCACAAGTTATCTTTAAATGCTGTTGGAACAAAACTATTAAAATGAGCATATAATCCTGGAAAAGTTGGTTTATAATATACACCAATTTAAACACTATCTGATTATATTCTGAGGTACTCAAAAATGGTTAACTGGAATTGTGTACACATACAACTGTAGACCTTATAATTGGGTGTTTACTGTTTAAATGTTTAAGGAATTCATTAATATAACTTTGTGACTGTAAAAGAGTAAAGATATGAAGTGGTTTAAAATCAACAGGACATTTTTCCAATCATTATTATTATTTTTTTTTATAATAGCTCAAGAACAAATTACCCTTAGCAGTTGCAGACTTTGTCCCTATACCAGTCCCCTCAGCCTGATTGTAAATTAATCCATTACATGTAAAATGTAATTCTTTAATAATGAGTAATATATCTGAAAATGAAAAAACAACTATAAATCAGTAGTTTCCCTCAAAGGAATGTTAGTTAAAAGAGATTTGTGCCAAAACTGACTGTATGCTGATTATCATTTTACTTCTGATTCTTCAAAGATTAAGAAAAAACTCAAAACTGTTTTTAACAGTAAATTTCTTACTAGTGAATTCACAAGGACATTCTATTAAAAACCTAACAGTTTGAGATTGTAAGTGTTAATTTTAGCTTGTTCAAAGTTTATATGTATCCATAATGTGTTTTAAATATGTTGATAATATTAATTTAATGATGTCATACCATGTATAATTGTTTGTAACCTACAGATTCACTTGTTCTGGATGTGTGGATGAACATGTAGGCTCAATTATTAAGTTCTTGATCACTGGTGTAACACTGGTAAATCTGAGAATACTTGGGGAGTATCACACAGCATTTCTCCACAAAATGTAACATTGCTATCACACAACGAATAACTTTATGAAAGTTACCAAAGCTGAGGATGACAGTATCATACAGAATTTCTTAATAAAAAAATCAATGTTGCTGTCACAACTGGCAACTTTATGAAAGCTATCAAATTTGAAGATGAAGATCTGAAAGAGCCTGGTAATTAACAAACTGAGAACAATCATAAATCTGGAGATACTTATTCTACTCAAATTTCTACTTTTTCCAATTTTCAATTCTGTTCTACCTTTGCTTGGCAGTAAAAGGATGGGTAATCAATAATAATCCTGTTTTTATTTCTCTTTCTGTACAGGAACCTGAAAAAATAGGAGGTTGTAAACCACAACCAACTTCTCTTCCATCAGTATATGACAACACAAGGACAAGATATGAAGATTTGACAAG